CCGCTGCCCGAGCGGAAACGCCACTGACCGCACGGGGATTCCCAGCGCCGGCGCCAGGGGCACCCGGGACACGCCCCCTCCCGCCGCGCCATTGGCCTCTCCGCCCACCGCCCCGTAGTCATTGGCCAGTTCGCCGCCAATCAGCGGAAGCCGCCCGGCTGCCTAGAGGAGAGGCTGTGTTCTAGGGCTCCGACTCCTCAGAGAGCCTCGGCTAGGTAGGGGAGCGGAACTTTGGTGGGAGGGAGGTCCGGTGGATTGGGGGGATGGGGTGGCTGAGGTGGACATTCTGGTAGCCGGGGGTCCCCTTTCCCCGCGGGAAGCTGGGAGTATAACGTTTGTTAAGTTGGAAGGGAAAGATAAGGTCGGACGCATAAGGGAGGGCGGCCCGCCCTGCGGCAACCGGAGGGGGAGGGAGGAAGGAGCGGAAAAAGCATGAAACCGGACGGAGCGCTGCTCCCGCAGAGGGAGGAGTGCTTCCGGCTTACCTCTTGTCGCTGATTGGCCCCTTCTGCTCCCGCCGTGTGTGAAAACACAAATGGCGTGTTTTGGTTGGAGTAAAGCTCCTGTCAGTTACAGCTTCGGGAGAGCGCAGTCGCCTCGGGACTCTCGCATTGCCCCCTGGGTGGGGTGGGTAGGTAGATGGGATGGGGAGAGCTGGACGTGCGGGCGCGGTCGGCCTCCCGCGGGGGTTGGGGGAAGGGTAGGGTTAGTGAAAGTGGCTCCCGCGCGCGCCTTCCCACCTTCCCCTTCCTTTGCGGGGAGTCGGTTTACCCGCCGCCTGCCCGGCCTCGGTATATGATTGGCTGCTGGAACTCGGGGAACGGCCCCTTCCTATTGGCTCGGGTCCCAAATGAGCGAAACCACTGCGCTGGGTGGCGGGGGTGTTGTGGAGGCGGTCATTGGTAGGGTCCTACCCAAGGCCCAGCGCCGCAGTGTCTGGCCCGACGCCCCTGCGCAACGTGGCAGGAAGCGCGCGCGGGAGGCGGGAGCAGGCTGCCCGGCCAAGGCTTCTGGGTGACGGAGACTACGGCTCCGCCCGGGGCTCCCGCCGCCTCAAGGACGAGAAAAGCCCGACCTACTCCCGGGACCCGTGGAGGTAGGGGAGGGAGCGGGGGTCGGTCTGGCTGGTTTGTAGGTGGGAGGCGCAAGTTCTCCAAAAGTCTGCGCGAGCTGCAATCCTGAGGGAACTGCAGTGGAGGAGGCGGAGAGAAGGCCGCACCCTTCTCGGTAGGGGGAGGGGAGTGCCGCAGTACCTTTATGGGAGTTCTCTGCTGCTTCCTGTCTCCGAAGGACCGCCCTGGGCCTAGAAGAACCCCTCCCTCCCTGTGATCTCGTCATCGCCTCCACGTCGAGTTGCGCCTTCTCGGTTGTGGGCGTGATTTTTTTTGCCCAGGCTTAAGAGCTAACCTAGTGTCTGGGCGTTGTCTTGGTGGGGGAATAGAGCGGATGTAAGATTTGAGGGCAAACCCAATTTCTATATCGTTCCTGCAGATTTGAGCAGGTGTCACTACGTAACATAAAGTTGGAGGGGATATACTCCAGGCATTCACCTGGGGCTGATTTTATGCAGCGGGACTATGGTTTATTGCTACTTAAGATCTTTTTTGGAGCAGTTTTTCTGGAGATAGAGATGATTAAAGGCACGATCACCTGAGTTTTGTACTTCATATGAAAGCTTTGCCATACCGCCGAAGTATAGGTTCCTAGATTAAATCTTAAAATTTTAGTGTTAGCTTCAGAGCCCAGTGTTTCCCTCCCTTTCTTCGTCGCCCTTCTCCCCAGCTCTCTTTCAGCCCACTGATCAGGCATCTTAGCACTGCTCTCACTCATACTTTGATCCCATTTTTCACTTGCCCATCCACTCCAGGCTTTCTCCTGTTCTTGGGTAGCCCGGTGAGTCATGGAACCAGACAGATTGGTTCCACCACAAATTAAGGCTGCCCAACTTGAGCTGGCCTCACTCTTACCCTGCAGTGCCTTTATTCATTCCTAATGGGTTTTATTGACTGTTTACTTTGATTTTTGTTTTGTTGGTTTTTCTTCATCTGGGATCCTACTTCATAGTCCAGCTCACCTTGATGCCAGCTTTGAGAATCTGACATGATGGAGTTCCGCAACATCTTCCTTTTACTTGAGAATTTGTCTTCAGTCCTCTATTCTTTTCCTAATCTTTTTTTCCCGAAGCCAACTCCTCTATCTGAGCCATTGAACCAGGACTTTACTCACCCAGTTTTTGCCTATCGTATTTCCTATGTTTTTCTACAATTTTAACTTTCTCAGTTCCAGAGTGTACTCAAGTTACCTGTCCTTGAAAGCTTTCTTTTGGTTTTGCTATCTTGTCAAGTTATCCCTCCTTTTTCCTCTCTACCAACAAATTCTTTAAGAGTAGGCATTCACCACGCTGCTTCTTGCCCAGACGGTTCATTTACTACTGCATAGTTCTTCAGTGATACAGCTTTTGACCACACCATGCCATTAAACTATTCTGGAAGGGCAAGTGAAGAACACCATCAAATCCAGTAGTTTTTCTTAGCCAACTGCTCTATAACTAGGCCCTGTGACTGGTCCACTTTCTTGAAACTTCTTTTGGCTTTCTACTTAACCTACATGAGGGGTTGTAAACAGTTCTACAGAATCCGGGCAGGTGAGTTTAAATAGGAGAAATGGGCCTGATATTGGAAATGATGAGAGCCAGATGATAAATGGCAAGTGATATTTACTGCTGACTGCCTGGAAGACAATGGGGTGAGAATGCTGTGGAACTGGGGAGTCCATTTTCTGCCCAAAGAGGGAAGCAGCCACTCAACTTCAGCTGAATCTGGAGAATTTGGGACCAAGTTTGCTCATTTTGGTGTTTTCCAAGAGAAACTGGAAATCTAGATTTTTAAGTGAAATCAAATGTTCTATGACACTAGTGTACCATACGAAGCACAATTAGTGGCTACCAATTTGCAACCTTTTACCTATATCCTTAGATTCCCCCCATTCCTGGTGTGTGACTTGATCCAGTTTCTACAACTTTTTAACTTTTTTTTTTTTTAAATTTTTTCCCAGAACAATTCATACTTAAATATTTGCACATTATGCACTGCATGGAGAAATATATCTACCTAAGTGCCTTTGACTACCAAATCTATTTCCAGAGCCAGCCTTCCCTGACTGCCTCTTGTATTTTTGCTTGTAAGGTACATCTAAGGAGCCCTGATGGCACAATGGTTAAGTGCTCGGCTGCTAGCCAAAAGGTCAGTGGTTCGAACCCACTAGCTGCTCCATGGAAGAAGAGACCTGGCAGTCTGCTCCTGTAAAGATTACAGTCTAGAAAACTCTGGGTCAGTTCTGCTGTGTCACAGGGGGCTGCTGAGTCGGAATCGACTTGACGGCACACAACAACAGATACATCTGCCTCAAACTCAACATGTGTAAACTGAACTCATTCTCCTGCACTCTCCCATCCCCTTAGACCCTCCCATTTGTTCCTAGTCTTGAGGTCACTCAGTTACTAGTGATAAAAACCTGAGTCATACTGGGTTCTTTTCCCTGCCCCCCTCCCAAGTGATTCCCTCAGTCCTGATGTTGATTCTCTCTGCTTTGAATACCTCTCAGTCCATTCCTTTGTTTCTCTTCTTATTGTTAATATCTGAGCTCAGTTGCCAGGATAATATCCTCCAAACTGGTCTGTCTCCAGTGTCATCTTCTGATCCATCTTACATGTTACCTGGGTGATTGTCCTAACGTACACAGAGCATGTAAATGACTGCTTAAACTCCTTTACTGGCTCCTTAACTAACAGGATGAGTTACATGCTCATGAGTGTGATGCACAAGGTCCCTCAGTGGGCTAACCTCAACTTTTATCCACAGTTTTTTTATTTGCCACTATTTTCCACATATGCAAACACTACCTTTCCACACTGAATTGACTGCTGTTAGCCAAATCATAGTGACATTGTCATCCTTCTTTGTTGGGTTTCTTCTGGAATGCTTCCCCTGCTGCACTCTTCAAGACTCAAATATTTTCTCCATGATCTATTGTCCTATAAGCCAGGCTCCCCTGTAAAGAAGTAGCAGTGCTTTCTCCTAATCCCATAGCAGTTTATACTTGGTTGAATTGTAGTTCTCAAGTCATTGTTATTGTTGATTTAAATTCTCTTCACTATTGCAAGTGTCTTGAAGGTACAGTTTTTTGTTGAGTCTTAAGCTGCGTAATGTCTGTTCAGGCAATGTGTGAGCCACATATGTGTCTGTGGTCCCATAAGGTTATAATACAGTTCAGAAATCCTGATTGGAGAATGGAACACAGCAGACATAACCAGGCACAGCGAACGCAACAGCTTTCTGTGCATAACATGTATCTTATGTCTCTTGTATACAAAGCAATTGCATTGTCAGGCACATAATGGTACAGTACATGTATAACCTATAATACATATGTCTTGGTAGTCATAATAAATGCCTGTGTTACTGGTTTACGTATGTACTGTACTTGCTATCATTATTTTAACATGAACTTTTCCTACTTACAAATAAAATGTTTACTGTATAACAGTATATACTTTGACTCGTAGGCAGCAGCATACAATCTCGTGTATCACATCTCTTGAGTCTCTTGAGTTGTAGCATTATCTCTGTGTTTAATTTTCTTTTGAAAATACTACTGTGAAGTGCATCATGGCTCCCAAACACAGCAAAACCAGTGCTAGTGATAGCAGCAGCAAGAGGCAAAGGAGAATTATCAATTTGGAAGTGAAACAAAAGGCATCCTATATAGCTTTGCTGAGTATATAATACAGGGTTCACCCAACATCCAAATCATGTAACGTCCCGTTTCACAGAATGTATTGTGGATGTTCAGCGATTCATGACTGTATGTTACTTGATGCATACACATAAAAAAAACCCATTACCGTTGAGTCGATTGCGACTCACAGCGATCCTGTAGGACAGTTGAACTGCCCCATTGGGTTTCCAAGGAGCAGCTGGTGGATTTGAACTGCTGACCTTTTGGTTAGTAGCCGATTTCTTAACCACTGTGCTAGCCATAGCCAACCCTAAATAAAATAGAATCTGTATGTATACGTCTTTGTAAGGTTTGATATATTGCTGGTTTCTTGAACAATTTTGTGTGTCTGCTAGCCTCTAGATTAGCACTGTCCGATGAAACTTTCTGCAGTGATGGAAATGTTCTATCTCTGCTATCCAGTATGCTGTCCAGTGATGTTGAGCACTGGCCGTATGGCTAAACAACTGATTTTTAAATTTTATTTAATTTAAATTTAAATAACCACTTGCCAGCAGTGTAGGTGTAGGTGATAGCCACAAAATTCTGTTGTGGATGGCAGAATACTTCATATGGACATTGATAATTTTCTCTTTATACTGAGCAATGTGAAAATAAAAGTTGAACTGTGCTGGTCCATTTACTTTTTTTTCCCCCTAATTGTTTTATCGTACGTATTTCTATACTTCAGCTCCAGTTAGCTGAGAGCTAAATCCAACAAACCATTACTAAAGTTGAACCTGCCTTGGACAACAATATGTTGAGAAAGCAAGTGTTGACCAGTTTGGATTTCAAAAAACACATTATGAATTTTAGGAAGGTGTGATTTCATTGTAATGGGCAGTGCAGAATAAATGAAAGGTGAGAAAGTTTAATGAAGAAAAGGATTATACCTAATGTTACCGAACCTTGTCCTAAATTTCAGTCCTCCAAGTTTTCACTTCTGAGGAAAACAAGAGGCCCTAAGCATCGTATCTGAGTTACAGGAAACTATCACTAAGTAAGTTTCATCCTGATTAAGTATAAGTTAATATAAACATTTTAACACCAGAATACTTTTTGATTCATGGCTAATATAGCATCTTATCAATGTCAGTTATATATTTAAAAAGATACTTTAGGGGTAAGTTTTTTTTTTTTTTTTTTTTTTAAATACTGTACAATCTCGTGTATGACATTTTTGAAAACACAAAAGTGTGATGGAGAACAGATCATCAGTGGTTGCCAGAAGTTGAGGGTGGGGGATGTCTTTTTTTTTTAATTGAACTTTAGATGAAGGTTTACAGAACTAGCTTCTCATTAAACGGTTAGTATATATACTGTTTTATGGCATTGGTTAACAACCCAATGATGTGTCAGTACTCTTCCTTTGGTTCCCTATTACCAGCTTTCCTGTCCCCTCCTGCCTTCTAGTCCTTGCCCCTGGGCTGGTGTGCCCCTTTAGTCTCGTTTGTCCTACAGGTCTGTCTAATCTTTGGCTAAAAGGTGAACCTAAGGAGTGACTTCATGACTGAGCTAAAAGGGTGTCTGGGGGCCGTACTCTCAGGGTTTCTCCAGTCTCTGTCAGGCCAGTAACTCTGGTCTTTTTTTTGTGAGTTAGAATTTTGTTCTGTATTTTTTTCCTGCTCTGTCCAAGACCCTCTATTGTGATCCCTGTCAGAGCAGTCAGTGGTGGTAGCCAGGCACCATCTAGTTGTGCTGGACTCAGTCTGGTGGAGGCCATAGTAGTTGTGGTCTATTACTCCTTTGGACTAATCTTTCCCTTGTATCTTTAGTTTTCTTCATTTTCCCTTGCTCCTGAAGGGTTGAGACCAGTGGAATATCTTAGATGGCCACTCACAGGCTTTTAAGACACCAGACGCTACTCACCAAAGTAGAATGTAGATTTTCTTTATAAACTATGTTGTGCCAGTTGAGCTAGATGTTTCCTGAGACCATGGTCTAGGGTTAAGTTTTTGTACTTAAAACCTCGTACTTAGAATATATGACCTTCAGGATAGTGGTCTTCAACCTTCAGTGTTGCTGTTAGTTACTGTCGAGTTGATTGTGACTCATGGCGACCCCGTGTTGGCCCCCATGAGGGTGGGTTTGAGCCACCAAGCTTTTGGTTAGTTCCAGCGCTTAACCAATTGTGCCACCCAGGGTCTCCTACCTTCATTGTGCACAGAGTTGCTGTTTAATGCAGATTGCCGAATCCCACCCCAGAGATTGAGTCCTGTTAAGATGGGGTGGGGAACATACTAGAATTCTGTGTGTTTTTTTAATCTCCTTATTTGCTTCTGATGTTGGTGGTCCAGAAGCCACACTACATATATACAGCCTGGGGGCTGGGCTGAATTATATCTATTTACCTGACAAAAAGAATCTGTCTCTGAAATGATTACAATTTCAGAAAAACTTAATGATACTTTATGTCCCCTCTTCTTGGTCCCTCGATTTTTCAACTGAGCATTTTCTGTCCTTCCTCCCCTCAAAAAAAAGACAAAGGAATAGTAATATTTTTGGAAACTTGCAGGTGAGATTGTTTTTCTTTTCAAAAGGATGTTAAAATAGTCCAAATTATTTAAGCAAGAAATGGAAGTTCTACATTGTTTTGTTTCTCCTGCTAAATTGCGTTCAAGGACACAGGGATTTATTTTTGAGTCCCCAATGCCTAAGTACAGAGCTCAGTACTCAGTAAATGCTGATTTTATTGACTTATATGTGAAATTGGTTTTCAAATAATAGCTTAAGCCCACAAAACATAGAAACAAGGCCCCTTTCCTGGAGGAACTTTAGAGTCATACTTAAGTCTCCTAGTATTCTATTCATAAAGGAAACTGATGGCCTCATGGTCTCTGAATCCATCTGTCTACCATTCAGCCCTTCCTTGGGTTTCCTGTTGTAACCATTTCAGTTAACCTCTTCCTGTGCTTTATTTGTGCAGGCTTTTTTTCCCCCAATAAACCAGCTGCCTATCTCCTTTTGAAGTAGTGCTATATTATTTATTATACTTCTAGGACAAAAATTTATTAACTACATTGAACATGTATGTTTACTTGCATGAGGGATTTGGTAAATTTTGTGAAGGCTTGCAATTTTTTAGCTAGATTTGTAAAATTTGAACTACATAAGGCCTCTTCCATGTATTTCTTACTAAATAGAGGCTTGATATAATTCTGTAATTATGGATTCCAACTCCAGAATGTGATGGGCATCAGCATCCTAAGGATAGACTAGTTTGTTCGTGCTAATCTTATAGAGCATCTTGTTAGGTCACAAATCTAGAAATCTAGTACTTTGCAGGTTGAAAATTCTTGGTTTTGTTAGCTTACCCAGTGGGCTACTAGTTTATATTGGAGGACACACTTACCCAGAATCTTTTTTTTTTTTTTTCCTTATCCAGGACTCCTCCCTATTGTAGATGAGAAACTGGATTATTAAAGAGCTACTTAATGAACATAGAATCAAATACTTAGGTTTATTTTACCTAGGCCAGAGTTGAACCTGATGAATTATTCCTGCTTTGTTATGGAGTATACCTTCTTTGTGACTAGAGAAACTATTTCTGCATCTCTGATTACATCTGCAGAGTCATGTTACATTTAATAATCCTGCTTTCCAGCTTTTTTCTTAAATTTGACAGTTATCTCTGACCTTTAATTTGTTCTGGTACTTTGTTACCCTTTGTTCCGTAGTTTTTGGTTTTGTTTTTTTTTTTTTAATATAAGATTGGCTATTCCTGCTGACAACAGTAACACATTTTCAGATTACTTTTATAGAATTGGTTACTTTATCATCTAACTAATCCCACCTCTAGCGTATGTATGCTGGTCAACTAAGTTAACAGTCTTCATAGTCTTAACTGTTGGTTAAAATCTCATCCCAGACTTCAAGGTATTATTCAGTATAATAAAAAATGGAAACATGGGTGTGTTAGAAAAATGAACTAATGTTCGTGGAATGCCAGTTGTATGCCAGGTAGTGGGCGAAACTCTTTATGGTGTTATTAGTGTGATCCTCTTATATAACCCCATTTTACAGAAGAGGAAACTAAAATGCAGTGAGGTTGAGCAACTTTTCCATAGACACACCAACAAATTAAAGGCCTGGGATTCTAACGCTGGTCTGATTTGCTTAGTTGTATTCCTAACCAGTTTGTGCTTCTCTGATGAAAACATTTTTTAAGGAAATTTAATATGGCTGCAGGATACAGGATGGATTGTAGGGACTGAGAAATTTGAAGGTGGAGATACCACTTAGGAAGTTCTAGGAGGTCTGGTATAGAGTGATGACAATCAAAATGGCAAGGAAGTTAAAGGATTCAGTGACAGTGTCAGTCATTGAGAGGGAGGGCACTTTCAAAAACATCACTTCTATGATTCCACTTATATGAAATACCTAGACTAGGCAAGTCCATCAAGACAAAATTAGATTTGTGGCTACCAGGGGCTGAGGGAAGGAGGAATGGGAGTTGAAAAAAAAAAACAAGAAACATTGGATAAGAGTGTTTAAAAAAAAAAAAAAGAATCACAAGGGGAATTTAGATTTAAAAAAAGAAAGAAAATTCACTCTCAAAGCAGCCTTCCCTGATGCCCTCACTGCCACTACATCGGGTCCCCCACTTGAATGTTGTCATAGCACTTTGAATTTCTCCATCATAGCACTTCTCACAATTGTAATTATGTAATTTGTTTTTTTCTACTACTTTAGGTTGCTCCTTGAGGGCAGGACTGTGCATGTTTATGGCTGTATCCCTGCTGACCAGTACAGGGAGGTCTGCGAGGGAGTCCACGAGGTCAAAACCATTTTCATAATACTAAGACAACAACAAGAAGTTACTTGCCTTTTTCCCTCATTCTCAAGTGTTTAGAGGCTACATGATGTGTGATGACATCATCTGCTGATGCTAATGGGTGTGTGTTGTCCATTTGAGTGGAACTGCCCCCATAGGGTTTCCAAGGCTGTAATCTTTATGGGAGTAGATCGCCAGGTCTTTCTCTCCTGGAGCCACTGGTGGGTTTGAACCACTGACCTTTCAGTTAGCAGCTGAGTGCTTAACCATTGTGCAACCAGGGCTCCTTTTGATGCTAACTGATGGTGCTATATATTCGTGGATTTTTTAAGGTGGTAGGTATATGGTATGAATATTTGTATTTTTTAGAGAGTAACTCAGTTTTTACATTATACCTTCCATAATCTCTGTAATGTCATTACTATACAATTGTTCATTTGAAATCCCACAGTTTTCTATGCCTGAGCATAAACACAAGAAGTAAAGGATGAAACTAATATATCACAAAGTTCTGACTCATGGGAAAGAAACTAAGAAATGAAAATATAAAAGTTATCTTTCTCCTGACTTTTTAGATGCTAATAATTTATCATATCTTAGTGAAATACAGGAATTTTGAATAGTATTTTGGTACCAGCTATGTCGTGGCATTACTTTGAAACCAATCTGTTTTTTAAGAAGATTTTAAATGTAGATGTGACTAGCTCCTTCAAATCCAAAAAACCATTACAGGTTTTCAAACTAGAAATGAAAAAGCTACTGAAGTATCTTAAAGAGTAAGTGTATTCATTGGCTGGAGAAATATACACAGTAGCTGAGAAACTTAAAAAAAAAAAGCCATATACAGTTGACGCTGCTAGATGAAAAGATCTCAGTAGTGACACTTTTTAATGATACAGGAATTTGTCATGTTAAAGATTTGTATGCAGACATGAAGTCGTATCTCATCTGTTAAAAAACCCCTATTGCCACTGAGTTGATTCTGGCTTATAGGGACCCTATAGGACAGAGTAGAACTGACCCATAGGGTTTCCAAGGAGCAGATGGTAGATTCAAACTGTTGACCTTTTGGTTAGCAGCTAAGCTCTTAACCACTGTGCCACGAAGGCTTATCTTTAGAAGCTACTTTTTGCCTTAAAAATGGATGACTCTACAAACATGCCTGAACTGGTTATTTTGCTTGTATTTATCTGGTATAAGCGTCTCCTACTCATCAGAGATACTCAGGACAAGCACATCTTGTCCTGTAATAGTCAAAATGTTGAATAACTTTTTTCAATCTCATGATTTATGCAGAACTATATTGAAATTTACATTAATGGTTAAAAAACAGTGGTGGGTAAAACTGCTAGCAACTTAGCACAAATCAAGGCAGTGCTTTTTATCCCAATAGTTAAGTAATCTTAAACATTTGTAGATTCTTTTGTACTTTAGCTGCTTTACAGACCCTTGAAAATATTTCCTTTTTTCAGCCTTTTGGTGGAAGCAGTGGAGATCTGAACCATATCTGATCTTTAGATTACTTAATAGTTCTTTTGGGGGTCTATAGTTTTGGCACATCTTGCTAAAAGGCTTATTTCATGTCATGTTTAAACAAAATTTTCCTTTTTGACCATTCTAGTACTTTGTCAGTCTCTGGAGGTAACTGTCTTCCTGTCATTAAACTTATAAAATATTTCTTAATGTTTGTTATTTTTTTCACTCCCTTAAGAATATTTTGACTCTCATTCCCAATAACAGGATGTCTAGTCCATAACTCAGTTCAGATTTCATAGATTCCCTTCTCCATTTCTTCACATTCCTATGGTCCAGGAGACTGGCTTCAGAGGTTGAAAACCAAGGTCACAACTAGTTAAGTGGCGGTGTCATATATAACTCATTCACAGATCTTCTGATTTCCTGGAATGATGCTTTTGGAACTAGTTTTATATCCCACTCATAGACCATTCTCAAAATTGCTTTCTGTCCTTCCAGGGAAGCACTTTATGTGGACTACCAGCTCCCTTCTGCCTATACAAGCTTCCCTCCCCAGATTGATGCTCTTTGCCCTGCTGACCTCCTTGATTATGAGCCAGTATGCAGCCCTTAATCCTGCTTACAGCCCATTTCCTGTTCTGTCTCCAGATTACAAAACACACTAGGAAGGAAGATGGCAAAGTATGCAGACAATGCCCATTTTAAGTCACATTATCTGAATTCAGTCTGCCTGTATTTTTACTGTAGTCTTCACTTTAATGTAAAGGTATGATGAGTCAAGCATAAATTTCATTATTCTAAACTCAGTATGTAAAATAATCATTTGTTCAACAAATATTAAATGCCCACTCTGGCAGGTACTATGCCAAAAAACCCATTGCTGTCAAGTCAGTTCTGACTCGGTGACTCTACACGGCAGAGTAGAACTGTCCCATAGGGTTTCCAAGGAGCAGCTGATTATAACTGCCGACTTTTTGGTTAGTTGCCATAGCTCTCAACCACTGTGCCACTGCGGTACTGTGCCAGGTACTTGGTAAACAGCAATAAAAACCGACACGGTCTTCACACTCCTGGTTCTGCACTGTAACCCTTATTTAGTATGAGGTTTAAATGGTTTCTTTTGCCAGAGATTAAAGGTTTAATGTCTAGCCCATAAATGCAGCTATGCATTCTGATGATGTTAAAAACTTCAGTCTAAGATATAAAACCTTTATAAATGTCTTATTTATTTCCAGTTAAGTCTTAAATGTGGGATACTATATTAGAGAGAAACCAGACTAAAGCTGTTGGCTGTGCTGCTAATGTGAACTGTTTACTCTTTCAAAGGAAGGAAATATTGTCTTAAAAAATTAACATGTAAGACATGAAAAGGTAATATGAGTAATACTGTTTTATCACTAACATGATACTGGAAATCTAAGCTGAATGCAGAGGAACTCCAAAGAAAACTGAGTAGGATAAAGAATTACACTCACATACATAAAACCAAGCCCAACTGCTCTTTGCCCCAGGAAGGCACCATTTTCACAAGGACTAAATGTTGAGGTCATTTCATTTTCCACAAAACTGTCTCAGGAAGGGATTTTAATCTGTAACTGGAAAAGCAGCTAAATGTGAACAGCTATCCAGGAGAAAATAATAATAAAAGAACTTTACATGACCCCAAAATTAAGTTTTTCACTCAAAGATGTATCAGTCTGTTACCTAGTCCCTTTAAGAAACCAAAAAAAGATACATTGAGAAATTTGTTTGGCTTTGAAAAACAACACACCATTGTGTACTGAAGGAAAAATAAAATTTATTTTAATTTGGCTTGTTGGTCCCACACCTCATCTTTACATATATATAGATATTTGCTACTATTTACAAAAAGAAATGTTCCATACTTAACAGCCCAGTATCTTTGCATCTCCTTGATAAATCCTTGTACTATTTTAGTTGTATGTATTAATCTGAATAACATGCATATTTTAATTTTTAAGGCAGATAGTAAAGTTGCCTACAGGTCTTATGATTTCATCTTGTTGTGGGGCAAACACTGGTCACAAAGTGTAATAACAGTTCATTGTTTGAGGCTGAGGTAATGAGAAATTAAGCAAGTGAAAAGCAAAGCTTCATCAGCACGGACGTGACCCAAGACGCTCTGCCTTTCCTTTAGGCCAAGGTGGCTTTCCACCCGCCACCATGTAAACAGGAACTGCTGCAAAGCTTGAAAACTGTTCTAAACCCAAATCCCAGAGCATTTTAGTAGGTTTTTCACTAAGCATCTTTAAAGCATTTTAAGAAAAATAACTGATTGCTCAGCTGCCCCTTCAAAACAGCTCTAAAGAAATGCTCTACTTTCTCAAGACTTTTTTTCAATTCCATCACATTACATGTACATCTTGTAATAAGCAAGGTGAAAAACTTTAGACCAGTTTAAATTCAGTGCAAACTGCACTTTTGTAAATACTATTTTTATCTCCAGTTCTTCATGCTTACATTTCCAGTGTTGGGAAATACAACTACTATTAGTCATCTTCATTCTTTGCATTACCAAGGGGTTCCTTTCTCTTCGTCTTGTTCTGAAGGGTGAACAAAACCCTGAGAGGTACGCTTCAGAAGGTAAACTGCAGCATGAAGACCCCCTATGTTCACCCAGACAGTATGCACCTTCCGCCACATGTGTCCCATTCTGGATAATGCCTGTGTGCAAACAAAAAACATAGAAGTAATTAGGCTTAACAATGTACTTCTAAACCAACCAGCAGTCTTGTTTGCCAGTTAGAAACATCTAAACTAATATCCCAAGTTGTACTTTAAGTTGCCATTGGCTGACTTTCAGAGCTAATGTAGAGCACCTTGGTAAAGCATTTCTTGTCCTGGGTAAGTAGTACAGCTCGGCCTGTCCCAGGTCTACAGACGCGGCTCATCTCCTGTAGACAAGCTGGATAAAGGTTCCAGTTTCTCTTCTTGGAGCCCATCCTATAAAAGAGGTTCCAATGAGTGAAGCACTTACTGTTGAAGATAAATTTAGATTATTAAAAATTCATTCTTATTGCAGTAAGAAAGTATTCGATGCATCCTGAGGCATGAAAAATAGTTACGTTTTAGAAGCCAGAGTTTTAACTATTATATGTCAATGAAATGAGCTACCAGTTAGTAAACTGCTTGGAATTTTTCAGTTTCAAATAGAATGAAAAAAAAGTGACAACTATAATAGTTTTATAACTTGCTCTCAATGAATATAAGCAAATTATATAAACATGTCAGAAATCATTTATCTTGAGAAATAGAACCAAATTTTTCTCAACAATGTGGTAGAAAGTGAATTATTATCGCTACATAATTTTAAAATGAAACTGAGGGTTAGGATAAAAATGTAGTCAATACATTTGTGAGTTATCAACAAAGAAGAAACAAAATGGGTGAATCCATCATACTGGTTTAATTCTTAAGTGAAAAGTAGCTCTGCTGAGGAAGTCTGCTAAAAGGAACTGAAGATTTCTTTTTCGGACTTTGAACAACTTCAAAGAAAATACTGACAAATTCAGAAGACAAGGGGGTATAACGGCTAAAAGTAAAACTTATTTTTTAAAACCAGTTCCTACCTTTTTCCAAATGGCATGTCTGTTACAATGATATCCACAGAGCCAGTTCTTAAAGGCAAACTGCAGATATCCCACTGAACAGCATCTATAGGTAGGCCCCAGGATTTGCTATGGGGAGAGAGCAAAGTGCTTCAACACATTTAGAAGTATGAAATAAATGAAAAAACAAAAAACCTTTCTGAAAAGAGACTGCTGTAATAAAGTACAAAATGTTATGAAAATTAGTGACAACATCAACAAGTTAGATGAATAGGGAAAATCTTAAAACTAATAATGGCTGAAATGGAAAACCTGTAAGTTTGACAAATATAAACAAGCGTTAAGACTGGTTTTCATATATGTAGACATATTTCACCTACAATTTAAGAATGCATATAGTAGGGTAAAACAAGATTACAGCACAAGGGAAGCAGTAAATTACATAACTGATGATGTAAAAAATTACCAGTGAAACATTCATTGGGAAGAATCAGAACCAGAACACTAAAGAGAAAAATACGAGATGACACATCTAAAAGATAGTTTGGCAAATCTATAAAGTAATGATGAGACCTAAAGAAACATATAGATAACGGAAAATTGGTAAATACAGATGTATTTGTTTTCAGATTAAAACGATATGAGCAGAAATTGTTACAGTAATATTTAATAATTTTAATAAAGGCAGTCACTAATGATTTAAACAGATATTAAAAATATATTACAACCACAGGTACCAATAACTGCAACAAAACAAGGTACCAATAACTGCAACAAAACAAAAGACATAAGCTACAAAACACTAAAAATCAAGGTAAAATTGATAGTACAGGTTGAATAGACAAAAAGCGAAGGTGCAGAAGGTCTGAACAACAAAATACTTAAAAGCTAGAAAAGCTGTTTATCAAGTTTACAAAAAAAAATTATATACTAAGTCTCAAAGAACACCTCAATAAATGTGAAACAAAATATACCACAAAAATTCATTAATCACAGTAGAATATAATATAAAAATATAAACCAAAATCTTCCAACCACTTGAGTATAAAAAACGATCTCCTAAACCCTTGCCACTCAAAGTGTGGTCTATAGTCCAGCAGTATCAGCATTACTTAGGAGCTGGCTAGAAATGCAGACTCTCAGGGCCAACCTCAAACCTACTGATTGAAAATCTTTATGTTAGCAATGTTTATGTTATGATTCCCAGGTGACTCATATGCACAGTGGTTAAGAGCTATGTCTGCTAACCAAAAGGTCAGCAGTTTGAATCCACCAGCTGCTCCTTGGAAACCCTATGGGGAGTTCTACTCTGTCCTATAGGGTTGCTATGAGTCAAAATCGACTTGACAGCAACAGGTTTGGTTTTTGGTTTTGATCCTAAACAACTAGATAGGAGAGACAAGCACACAGCCAATGATTTAGAAAATAACAAAAATCAAAAGCATTATAAAAATCTATAGGATATAGTCGACAACAGTCCTTAGAATAAAACTCACAGCTATACTGAAAAATTTTTATCATTAAAAAGAAAACTGTTAGAACATATAACAAAATTTAGAAAATAATCTTAATAGAAAACAGAAATAACAAAAAGCACTGAGCATGACAAAACCACAGAACAGATAATGTTAATACACGGAATAAAAAACAAGGCACTAGTAATCCTAACTGGAAAAAAAAAAAGACAAAATTAGCAAAGAAAAGGATTTAATCATTATAGTCATAAAATAAGATCAGACATGCCATGTATAAGCAATAAATTTAAATATTTGAATAAAATTAACACTTTCTTTACAACAACTGATTTATATTTACAAATATAAACCTCACACTGAGGGTTATGAAAGCACCTGTTTCTAGATCTCATAAGGCCAATCAGGACATAATGAATTCCTGGGCTATGTATTTAGGATGTGGAGCGCCTATAAGACCTAACAAATCTGCTGACCACTATCTACTCCTGGTGCTTTACAAGAGAATAAACGACACTAACAGAGCGAGACCAGAGAAGCAATTTTATGAAAATTCTAGACCAAGTGCTATTTCAATCAGTTCTTCCCAAAGAACTGGGTGCAAGGCCAGCAGTGTCCTCAAATGTGCAGTAGTGGGCTAAGGCTTAAGATAATGTACTGTAACAAAGTACACCTCAAAAGGATGGAAAATGACACATTTTCCCAAAGGACTTCCAATCCATGAATGCCAAAGGAGAATGGTTGAAGGACCCTGGAATATTTTGTTTAGAGAAGACAGGACTTGGAGGGAAGTGATGGAGGGGAAGGCTTTGGTAGTCCTTCAAACATCTGATGACAATCATGTGACACAGGCTATCTGCTGTCAATCGTGTGACACAGGGACAAGATTCTTTTTCTTCATGGACTCATAGGAAAAAATAAAAAGTCTGGAAAGCAGAGATTCAGTTCACTAAAAGATATGACTAGGTCTGAGAGCTAAGCAAAGGCAAAATCAACAAGTCTTCAAAGGCAAAGTTGTTAGAGGCATTTAAACAGGCTGGAAGGCCATTAGTCAGGATCTCCAGTAAGATTTAGGCAGATCTCTTCCAACTCTGAGATTCTTTTGAGTGCCAAATAATAAATAAACTTTAGTATTTCTATACAATGGGATATTATGCAGTCATTAAAAAATAAGACTGTGCAAAAATACAAAAAATATTTGAAAATTTGTGAAATTAAAAAGAATCTATAAAATATTCTTCCAGTATGTGGGGAAAAAAAGTATGAATAAGGAACAGAAAAAGGAAGACAGAAATAAAAAGTTGCATTATGATGGGGAATTCTAGTTAAATTAAAAAACTGGTTTTTTAAATTATTTTCAATAAACTTTAAAATTTAAATGGCATCCCACAATATTTTCATTTAGATTAAAATCAATGTTACAATGCATTTGGGGCCATTCATAAAGACAACATGAAAACTGATTAAGTCTAAGAGATGATACAAAGTCTTTTAAATTAGATTTTTACCTTTCTTGAATTTGGTTCTTGGTCAATAAAGATAAGATGTTATTTGCTGCTCTATTCACAGCCAATGGATTATTGTCACCAGCAATATGATAACAGTTAGACCACTCAGTAGCCCCCTAAAAGACAAGAGAATGTATTAAAACAGAAGTAGCGAACTGCAAAAAATGATTTAAGGGAGAATCATTTCAGCCAACTGTCAATAAACAATCCAATCCAATGCTTTTCTAAAGTGGCAAAACATTGCTTGAAATGCCCTCTGTGCTTGCTGAACTTACCTTTCAAGATCCGGCTCAAATATCAAGCTCTCTGTTGACATCAACCCCACATCTCCACACTGTCTCTCATCTGCCCCTCCAAAAGCATTTTGTACGTACCTCTGCCACTGCACTTGTTCTATTTTAAATTATTTCTACACTTGCCTCCCAACTAATCTGGGAACTCGCTGAGGACAAATCTGGTGTTTTATTCAATACCCCACCTGGCAGTGTTTGACACATTTAGCAGTAGACTTTAAATAAACATGGTTTGAAAAAAATTAACCAACTCAAATCAACCAAACCTACACCCTTTTGTGATTATGGGCAAATGTATTTCTTCTGCTATATGGAATACTTGAGAATTTCAAAATAAAATACAATTTCCTTTGGATGGCTGTATATTTTTTTGAATGATAACCACCATATCCCTGAAAGGATTTTGCAATTTTAAGTTAAAAAATGTTAGCAGTTGTTCACGGAATGAGGTGACAGATCTTCCTAGGCTAGAACAATGTTCTAAGCAGATTAACAGGTTTCTTACATGAAAGCAGAGAAAGGCTCTGCCCTCGACTTAGGTATGAGCAGCAAACACTTCTTCCTCTGTAAACAGTAATACATCTGTCATCCATGAACACAGCGCTTCGTAAATTTTTCTCTTGCCTAGACACTTGAGGGTGATGATACAGTCTTATTTATAATCCTACAGAAGTGACTTTCAGACAAAAGGGAAGTTGAAGTATGCAGCATTTTGGGGGGAAGAGGGGTGGAGTGGAAAGGGGAAGGAGAGTTTAACGAAAGCCTCTCAAGAGATTGATTCTCCAACTTTTTTGTTTTTTACACCTGTTTTAGATTTTCAGCCTTGGAAACAGGTATGTTTTATAGTACTTCCAAATTTTAAAGGGAGTATTCTAGATCAAGTATTTTATACTGTGGTCAACAAATCTTTACATATACTCTGTCAATACTGTTCATAATTTAAAAAATTTTGATCATACATCTACACTGGTTTTTCTACACTGGCATCCACATATCTATCCTTATATGGAAATAGTTTAAACTTGTAATCATTTTTGGGGCCCTCTTCTGGCCTCTTTCTAGCTCTGTTGTATCTTTCTTGACATGTACTGACCTTACTTGCTATTTCAGACACAGACACATCATGGCTTAATGCTAGGGAAGGAGAACACTCTGCTCTGTTCCCCAAATTCTTTTTGATCACAATTAGGATTTCTCTGTGTGAGTCTCCTTAGCCAGAGTAATTTATCTAGCTGACACTAGCAAGAAATGGTAGTTATGTAGACTACTGTAAATTCCTTCTTGGATTTTAACTCCCAGGTCACAGATGTCATTTTCTAATTACAGTCTGGATTATTTTCCCCTTCATGGGTTGCTCTAGACTTGCTCATCCGTCTAGCTCCTATCCACTCAGAATCTTGTGGATATCTCTCTGCAGTTTATTCCCATTGGCTTTAGGTACACTATATAGGAAAACTTAACATGCTTTCCAAATTTAAGTGATTTTTACTGGGAATTCCCACTTTCAAATTGTTTATAAAAGTACAGGTATCATTATCAAGGAGACTCTATTGTTACATGTTCTCCACTTAGAGAATGTCTTTCCATTTTTTGCTTTGCTTTTAGGCAGTTTTTATGAGTCCTCCCAATCTCATAGTAATTTTGAAAACTATTTAAGAGCATCTGGTATATAACTTTGTCAGATTTCCCCCCAAATCTAAGTAATGTCTATGGGTTTCCCTTTTTACAACTATACTTAACCCCTCCAAGAATCTAAGTGGATTGAGAAGTATGATCTCACCTTATAGAGATGAACTGGCTTTCCTCCAGTTTAGGCTTATGTCTTCAATTATCCTTTTCCTTTCAATTCTACCAGCTTGTTTGTTATGGAAAAGGGACTCACCAGTTTGTAATTCTCAGTCTTCTCTGCTACCCAGTGAATAGATATCACTAACAATCTATCTAGTCCTTTGGCACTTGGCTATCTGTAATGAGTGGTTACACCCTTTACACATAAGTTACAGCTTTACTACTGTAATCTTTCAAGACTCTTGGGTCCATTGATTCAACCTTTATAATTTTATTATGTCTAATTTACACATTAGGTCTAGAACATTCTGGATGTATCACTTGTTTACCTAAAAGTTAAAGGACAGTTATTACCTACCTCTATTGGTATTGCCCCTGTTCCACACATTGGATCAACTATTATATCAGAAGGCTGAGGAGCACAGAGCCTGGAGAAGAGAAGAAAATAGCCTATGTGAAGAGACTTAATCAAAAGCCAAGGCTTCCACAATGACTATTCCTGAAGCTATAAGATCAAGAACCTATCATGCTAGCACGAAGGAACACCAATCTATATTCACTTTAAAAATCAAATTTTTAATTACATGTTGACTCTATATTCTAACATTTGGGGGAAAAAAAACCGTTCTGTATAATTTAAAAGTCTTTTCTGTCATCTGAAATCCCATTTTACTCCACAGATGGGATTTTAGCTTGTATCCTTCTAGACCTTTTAAAGTGCACTTATAAACATGTCTTTAGAAAACAGTGTTGTTTTGTACATAAACCTCTATTGTTACATGAAAAAGCTCAAACACGTCTCAAGTAAAACATGTATCAATATAAACTTATTGGCAATTAAGACATTCAGTATTCCTGATGAATTTAATTTTGAAGATAAAAACCTTGATGTAATTGCTATACAGTAGCCTCCCCTTACCCTTATCCACAGTTTTGCTTTCCACGGTTTCAGTTACCCACGGTCAACCACGGTCCAAAAATGTTAAATGAGTAGCATGATGAAATCTCGCACCTTCCCGCCCAGGGTCCACATTCATATAATTTTCATTACAGTATATCATTATAACTTCTATTTCATTATCTGTATCATTCTTACTGTACCTAATTTATAAATTAAACTTTGTCAAAGGTATATATGTATAGGTCAAAACATAGTATACATAGGGTTCAGTACTATCCAAGGTTTTAGGCATCTACGGGGGACTTGGAACGTATCCCCTGTGGATAAGGGGGGACTACTGTACGTTGAGCCCTTAGTATTTGCCTGACATGGATTTAAGCTCTTTACATGCATTATCTCATTTAATCCTCATAACAACCATATGAGAGAGTGTCTTATTTATCTAGTGCTGCTACAACAGATACATGGAAAGTGGATGGCTTTAACAAGGAGAAATTTATTTTCTCACAGTTGAGGAGCCTACAAGTCCGAATGCAGAGCACCAACATTTGGGGAAGCCTTTCTCTCTCTGTTGGCTCTGGAGGAAGGTCTTTGTCTCTTTAGTTTCTGCTTCCTGATTCCTTAGAGATCTCCATGTGGCTTAGCATGTACCTTACCCCATCTCTACTTCTTCTGCTTGCTTGTTAAATCTCTTTTATACCTCAAAAGAGATTGACTTAAAACATACCCTGCGTGAATCCTGTCTTACTAACATGACAAAGACAACCCATTCCCAAATGGGATTATAATCAGGCGTATAGGGGGTTAGGATTTACAACACATATTTTTGGGGAACACAATTCAATCCATAACCGTCCACCCTCTGGCCTCCCAAAATTCATGTCCTTGCCACATGCAAAACACATTCACCCCATCACATCATCCCAAAAGTCTTAAGTCAACCCAAATCTCATCTTCTGAATCATCGAAATCAAATATGGGTATTCCATCCTGGGGCAAAATTCCTCTTTACATCTGCGAACCTGTGAAATCTAGAATACAAGTTATCTGCTTCCAAAGTACAATGGTGGAACATGCACAAGGTAGACATTTCTATTACAAATAAGAGAAAATGGATGGAAAGAAAGGTTAACAGGCACCAAGCAAGTCCAGCACCCAGCAGAACAATTTACTTAGCTCTCAAGGCTTGAAAATAATCCTCTGTTCTTTGGGACCATCTTGACAATGGCTCTGCCCTCCAGACTCTGGCTATTGGCCATGCTCTTTGGATTCTGGGTAGAGGCCCCTGGGCCCTGGGCTTCAGCTCCGCCTTCCAGGCCCACTGAAATGGCAACTTGGCTCCCTCAATTTTGGGGGGTCCCATTTTCCTAGTCCATCTGAATGGTGACCCCACCCCCTCAGCCCTGGCAGGCCCCATTATTCTGCCCCTTGGGCATGGCAACCCGACCCCTCAGCTTTGGGTAGCGGCCCCATCCTCTTGGCCAAACTGAATGGCAGCCCCACACTCTGGAACCGAGTTAGTGAAGATTTGACTCTTTGAAATCTAGGAGTCCACGGTCTCACCCATTGTGACCTGAGAGATCACGGCCCCACCCTTTGAGACTGAGGAAGCAGAGTGCTCCTTCCAAAATTCTGCCGCTATCTGAACTGCTCCAGGGATGGTTCTTTTATTTTCTTGGAGGATAACAAATGTAACTCCTTTGGTCTGTTTCCTGCCTGTAGAATTCCAAGAGGCAGACAGTGTGCTTTCCTTTCATTCTTTCTCTGTCCCCTTCAGTCTAAGCTGATGGGTTTTCTGTTGTGGTAGTTGGTTAGATCCATCAGTCACAGGCTTAATCTTAACAAATGACTGTGTAGTCACATTCTTGGTGAACATTCTAAGACGTGTGTTTTTAGTTTGTACGACACAATTTTCCAAATATTTAAATTTTGTTTTCATTTTGCGCAGTTCATTTTTAAGTCCATCTCTTTCCTCTTGCATTTTAATATAAGCAGCAAGGAGAAACCATGAGACCCCTTTAAGATCTTGCTTAGAAATGTCCTCAGCCAAATATCCAGATTCATCACTTACAACATAATTCAGACAAGTTCTTTGCCACTGCATAAAACATCGTCCTTCCTCCATTGTCCAATCACATTGTTCATCATTTTCGTTTAAAGCCTCACCAGAAGCACATTTAACGTCCACACTTCTAGAAACATTTTTTGCTGGCGCCATATGTATTCTCTAAGATGATACAGACTTCCTCTGTAGCTCTCCTTGCTTCCCTCTGAGCCCTCAACAAAACCGTCTTTTATGTTCATAATTCTACCAACAGTCTCTTCAAGGCAATCTAGGCTTTTACTATCAGGCACCTTAAAACTCTTCCAACCTCCACCCATTACCCAATTCCAAAATCACTTCCACATTTTAGGTATCTGTTATAGCAGCACCCCTACTTCTCGGTACACCAAATTCTTAGTTTACCTAAAAAAACCAACCAAACCCATTGCTGTCGAGTCGATTCTGACTCATAGCGACCCTATAGGACAGAGTAGAACTGCCCCATAGAGTTTCCAAGAAGCGCCTCGTGGATTCAAACTGCCGACCTTTTGGGTAGCCGCCACAGCACTTAACCACTAGACCGCCAGGGTTTCCTAGTTTATCTAGTGCTGCTATAAATACTACAAGTGGATGGCTTTACCAAACAGAAATTTATTTTCTCACAGTTTAGGAGGCTGTAAGTCCAAACTCAGGGTGCCAGCTCTAGAAGGCTTTTTCTCTTTGTTGGCTCTGGAGAAAGGTCCTTGCCTCTTTTAGCTTCTACTCCTGGGCGATCTTCATGTGGCTTGGCATCTCTCTTCCACCATCTCTGTTTCTCTTTGCTTGCTTATTTAATCGCTTATTTCTCAAAAGAGATTGACTTAAAACATACCTTATACTAATCCTGTCTCATTAACATAAAAAAGACAACCCATTCCCAAATGGGATTATAACCACAGACACAGAGGGTTAAGATTTACAACACCTATTTTGGGGGGACACAATTCAATCCATAACAGGGAGATTACTATTATACTTCTTCTCATTATCATTTTACAGATAAGGAAGCTGACAAGAAAACATTAAGTTACTTGTCCATGAACACAAACTAAGAGGTGATACACTCAGGATTAGAGGCATTGTTTGACTGTTAGTGGCTTAACTGCTACCTCTCTATGAAGTACCCCCTCCTTAACCACGTCACTAATTTCTCTTTCCTTCTTTTGTTCTTCTGATCTTGCCATAGCTGATGAGTCCAGGGATGAACACTTGACTGAAATGTCAATCAGATCCTCTCTTCCAGGAATTTGGAATAAAGAACTAGAAGCTCTAGGGAGTGTGGGCTGGTAGTTTGAAATTAGAAATAAATATAGATGAAGGGCCCTTTTGGCACAGTGGTTAAAGCTATCGACCGCTAACCAAAAGGTTGGTGGTTTGAAACCACCAGCAGCTCCGTGAGAAAGATGTGGCAGTCGACAGTCTGCTTCCATAGAGATTTACAGCCTTGGAAACCCTACGGGGTTGCTATGAGTCGGAACTGACTCAATGGCAATTGGTTAGATGAAGGGTAGTCATGTGCACAGATGAGCAGAGACAAGAGCCTACTGACTCCTAGCAGAGACAACAGTGGCTGCCTAGTTTTCTGGTGGTTTCCAGGATCTGATACTACTCTTGAGAACTCAATTTTCAATTTTTCCTTGGATTCCCCAAGATGCCTCAATATCTTTCCAATAAATTCCCCTCCCCCCCATCATCACTTTTTTATCTTAAGCTAGTTTACTTAGATTTCTAATACTTTTACCCAAAATAGCTCTCCATATCTCTGGCTCCTACCATAATGGCCTAGTAGTAAATAATGTTTGTTAAATGAATGAAGACTAGGAGTTCTTCCTTAATCAAATGGACCCAGTTTGCTATTACTGTATTGAATTAGTAAGTTCCTATTGTGCTGAACTGTGAATCCATGGATAAGCAGGATAAAAAAGGAAGCAAAGATCAGAAGAAAAGGAAGTTAAACTGTTTAATCACCAGTACACACCAGGCACTGTATATAATAGATATCTGCATGTTTCTGTTTTCAATCTTCAGCAATAATCCTTTAAATCCTGTATCAAACCTATTTTGCTGCCTGGAAAACAGAAACTTAAAGAAGAAAAACTTGTCTAAGTGGTGGAAAGAAGCATCCAAAAAAAATGGGAGAAGGACAAAAGAAAAGAGGGAAAGCTACATCTTATACTTTGAAAAGTAGAAAATTTCAGGATGATTCCTGGGTTGCTGTGAGTAAAAAGTTTAAAAAATAAAAGTAAAAGCCTTATGTGTTCATTTATACATTTTACATGTTTTTAAAATCTCTTCTATCTGCACAGAAATGAAAACAAAAAGCAAAAAATCTTTTTCTAATTCCCAACATAAAATATTTTATCAGCATTCTAAACAGAAATGAGGAAGCCCCATTCAAGAGGCAGATGAAAGGTATTGTTCTCATTTTATAATTAAGAAAATTGAAACAGGAATTCAGTGATATTTTCAGGATCACAAGGAATCAATATTGAATACTGGGGAAAAAATCATTAGCTTTTTACTCCGTCTTTACCAATTAAAATCCAACATGTTATTGTTGTTATGTGCCATCAAATTGACTTGTGACTCATAGCGACCCCATGTGACAGGCTGAACTGTCCCGTAGGGTTTTCTAGACTGTAATCTTTAAGGAGCAGATCGCCAGGTCTTTCTCCCACAGAGTGGCTGGGTAGGTTTGAACCATCAACCTTTTGGTTCGCAGTTTAGCACTTAACCATTGTGCCACCAGGGCTCCTTAAATTCCAACACGGTACTTCATAACAAATTCAAGTGTTTTGAAGAGAAAATTCAAACCAGGTGCCACTTTAATCTGGATGGCAAACCATTCTCTTACCTGAGCATCCCATAGGCAAGAGTAGATCTAAGAGTTGTGGGTCCAAAATGTGTGATATTTCTTCGATGGAGACTCTCTTCTGTCAGTGCAATGCCCACAACTATTTCATTATCATGGATATTCAAAAGAACCTATAAGAAATTTAAACAAGACAGAAGAAAACTGTTTTAGGATTGTTCAAACTGCACTTACAAGATTTTCTTTTTGAGGCTTTTTTTTTTTTAAACTTTTTTATTGAGGTTATATTTTCCATACAGTAAAGTGCACAAGCCTTAAGTATATCTCAATTAATTTTTATCTGTATGTATACACTTGTGCAACCACCATCCAGATCAAGATAGAGAACATTTCCAGCACCTACTAAAGACTCCCTTTGGCCCCTCCCAGTCAATACTTCTCACCCCAGGTAATCATTAATCTGACTGCTAGCACCATAAATTAGTCTGGCCACTTTTTGAACTTCATATAAATGGAATCATAAAGTATGTAATATTATCTTCTTTAATTTTGTATTGATTTTTATTATTTTCTTTTCATTCACTATAAGTTGAATATAACCATATTTCTCCAAATTTTTAAAATGCAAATATATTTTGAAGGTTTGTTTTTTTTAATATACTTAAAATTTTCTGAAAACTTTGGAAAATATTTCAAACACAGAGAAATGCTGCAAGAACACTAGCACAATGAACTTCTAAATATGCCCTTCACTGAATTCCCCAATTATTAATGCTATACCACGTTTGCTTTATCATCTATTACACTGTTTTCATTTTAATTTGACTCATCTTGAGTAACGTCTGTAGAATAAGGATTTCCTATACTGGTTATAATTTTTTCAAACACACATACAACACTGAATATAAACTATTCAAATAAAGATATGTTCCTCAATCTTCCACTTAAAATCACTTCCATTTCCTCCTCCTCATGATCTTAACAGCAGCAGCAGCTGATGATTATACAGCCTTTCTACATGTCAGGATCTGTTCTACACACTTGACATTCATTACCTCATTTCATAGTCACACCTCTGAGCTAGGTACTTAGTACCCCCTTTTTATAAATGAGGAACCCCAGATAGCTTGTAAGTGGTACAGCTGAGCTCTGAACTCAAGCAGGATGCCTCCGGAGTCTGTGCTCTAAGCCCCCTTGCTAACTTTTAGATATCACTGTTCTAATTACCTAGTTAGCCTCCTCATTCTCCCAGAAGCTCTATGAGATATGCAAAAGACTTGAGTGTGCACACAAATAAGTGACTTGCTCCAGGTTCTAGAGCCCCAAAAGCAATAGAAAATGATTTCTTGGTAGAAATCTCATCTTCTAGAGGTGTTTTTAAGTTGTCAGAGATTTAAAGATTCTGGTTTGTACTGCCCACATGTGAATCACGTGGGTAGCAGAGTACTGGGACCAAAGAGAGTAAACATGTGAAGAAGTACTATGAGCTAGTATTTGAGTGTGGGAATCTAGTAGCACTTAAGAAAGAGGAAAGCTGGCTCTAGGATGGTAGTAGCACTGATGTTCTGACTGGAGAAGGTCAAAGCTTATTTTTAAAATGTGCTCCACTTTTTTAGTAACAAAACTGTACAACCAAGACACACAAAAACAAAATAATTGTTTTTAATCTGGTTGAACTTTGTAATTTGGAAGTCATCATAATGTAGTAAAGGGTACTAGATTTGAAATTCGAAAACTCAAGTCCCAATAGCTTCCATCTACTGACTTACTATATACAGTAAAACCTGCAAAAACTGGAACTTGTGTAAGATAGAAACCTGCCAGAGAAGGAAAAATCAAATATTTTCCACTAAAATGAGTGACAGAAAAGTGGTAAGGCTGCACCCTGTCAAAAGTGGGAAATTTGCGAGACTCAGAAAAACAAGGTAGTCCTGTCAAGTTCCAACTCTCACAGGTTTCACTGTACCAGGTGTTGTGCCAAGTACTTAAATGTATTACCTTGTTTAACCTTCAGGACAACCCTGAAAGGTATATACTATCATTGGATTCATTTGAAACAGAGGCACAGAAGAGACTATATTGTTTAGTTACATAGTAGTGCAGTCAAAATTTGGAGCTAGATCGCTTGCTCCATAGTTGATGCTCTTCTTAACCACACCCTATTAGCTCCGTGGTCTCAGTTTGTAAGACTGGGTTAGTCTGAAAATTTTACACATCTATAACAGCCTTAGGGGCACTAATGGCACAATGGCTAAGCGCTTGGCTGCTAATTGAAAGGTCGGCGGTTTGAACTCACCAGCCACTCCTCGGGGGAAAGATGTGGCAGTTTGCTTCTGTAAAGATTACAGCCTTGGAAACTCTATGGGGCGGTTCTGCTCTGTCCCATAGGGTCACTATGAGTCAGAATTGACTCAATGGCAGTAAGTTTTAAAACAGCCTTCTTAAATCATAACATTCTCTACCTACCTCCACATCAAAGTTGGTCATGTCAGCCTTCCACTTAAAATAATCTTGAACAGCACCCCCAAAATCTCTTGCGGCCTCATTTGATGTAAAGCAATGTTTCTCCCCTGCCCTATTGCATGTGACTCTAAACTTTAGCACTCGATGGTCAGTTTCTTCTTTTGAGCTTTCATCAGTCTCCTCTTCTTTGGAAGATGCCAAATCATCGCCTACTAATGTTGATATCTCCTCTTTAATGGCAGGATTTTCATAATAGTCTAGGATATGTGGCTCTACGGCATTGCTAGTGAACTCTTTTTTAACATCTCTCTCATCTATTTTCTCTCCTTGTCCATTATTAATCTTCCCTTTACTTGAATTCTGATTTACTTTTTTGCGCTTTGCTTTTTTTTTCTTGAAACTGGTGTTAATTTTCCACACTTTTAAAGGGTCTGTCCACGGGAGCTTCCCAGCCAAGTCTTCAAAATCCTTTAGAACTTCTTCCTATAAAGGACAGAGAATGAAATCCATTCATTTCTCATCACTTTAATTGAACAATTAAACCCCTAGTCTGCTACAGACTATGCTAAATCATTATGTTGCAGGTGGTCAGAGTATAGAACAAGAGTAAATAAAATAATGCCTGCGCTCAAGGAAATGAAAATCGAACTGATAAGTTAGATATATACAAATTAAGCCACTAAAGAATAACACAAGATAGAATGGTAGATCAGAAGCTGGGACTTCAAGATTAAAATGTAAGCAGTAAGAAATGATGTAATAGTGGTTACCTCCACACGGAGGGGAAGTAGATGGATGAAAGATGGGAGGGAGATTTACTTCTCACTGACTAAATTCCTTTTGTATTTTTTTAAATTTTGTAATGAGTATACAAATAAACTATTTTAGAAAATAAAAATTTTCTAAAGAAAAAAATTTTATCAGCTAACGTTATGTATCCAATTCCTATATAGTATCGAGTCAACTTTTTAAAAAGTAAATTTGGTCACGCCCCTCCCTTGCTTAAAAGCCTTCAATAGCTTTGCACTGTGCATAGAAAATCTAAATTCTTTAAAAAGCCCAACACAATCTGACCTCTGCCTATTTGCCTTATACCACCTTAGGACTATTCTCTCCCTTACTTCCTACCTCTGCTTGGAAACGTATTTGTTTCGCTTAGTCTCTCTGCACTGCTAGGCACGTCCTCCAAGAGCTGCTCTATTTAAAGAAGTCTTCACAAGTCATTCTTTTCCTGTCTTATTTCTTTAGCATTATCTGAAGTTAGTAAGTCCCTCAGTGACACAAATGGTTAAACTCTTGACTGACCAAAAGGTTGGTGGTTCAAATCCCTCAGAGGCACCTTGGAAGAAAGGCCTGGCGATCTGCTTCTAAAAGGTACAGCCTTGGAAACTCTATGGAGCAGTTCTACTGTGCACACATGGGGTCACCATGAACTGGCATCAACTGGATGGCAACTTTTTTTTTTTTTGGTATCAGAAGTTAGAAGGTTTATGTATTTGTTTGTTATCAAGGCTCCTCCTAGGAGGTAAGTGCCTGGTAGGAAGGACTTTGTCCTGATCACTGCTACAGGCCAAACGTATAAAAATGCCTGCTCATTAAACAGCTACTGGATAATATGTGATTAAATGTTAAAAGGTGGGTGATCTAGACCTGCACTGTCCAGTATAGCAGCCATAAGCCACATGTACCTATTTAAATAAATATTCAGGTCCTCAGTTGTACTAGCCACATTTCACGTATTAATGGCTGGTGGCTACCATGTTGGACAGCAGCCATAGAACAGTTCCACAAGGAAGTTCTATAGCAAAGGGCTGGTATAGACAATATATGTTACTAAAGATCAAAGTAGAAAGAATCAATGCTGACTGATGGAGTTAATACTTGAAATGGAAGTGAGGGTTTGATACTACTTGAAACCTGCTGAAATAATGTCAAACTACAGGTTTAACAAGTTCAATTCTATTTACAAACGATTTCCCTATAAAGGGCCTCTAGAGGACCTGCAGCTTTAACGTGGTTCAATAAAACTCTCTCGGCCCCCTGTCCCCTTCTTTCCTCAGAAACTGGTCTAAGAAAAAGAAACAGAAACACCAACTCATCTTTACTGAATCTAGATGGTATCTGTAACTTTGAACCAAACCATAAGAAGAATCCCCAAATGCAGTGAAGGTCAAACAAAGGTACAGTACAGGAAGACATGAGAGACAATGCCTACAGACCTCAGACAAAGCACAGCCTGTGAAGTAGGTGGCAAATCAACTCTTGTTTGGAACAGCCAGAAAGAAGTTATATGGACTGATGGTAGGAGCTTCCCTGGACCTCATTTGTACCAAGGAGAAGCAGGGGAGGGAAATGGGGGCAGAACAAGGAATCTCATAGACATGCTATGTGTGCTTGTGTGCTGAAAACTGTCTGCTGGTGAGGCAGAGTGGGAAAGAGAGACACTGCATTGTGAATAACACTGAAGCTGCTGATCCCTTGAGGCTAGGGAGAAGTAAAGGTTAAAAGAACTCATTCAGTGGTATTGAAATTATACCTCAATAAAGCAGTAAAAAAGAGAAGAACTCATTCACCCACAACTCTTAGTCAGAAAGAACTGTGAACCAAAGAAACTTCCTGCTAGCCTGGCGCATGTTCCTGGCTTTTCCCACTATAACAACCTCCTATAAACACCAAGTCCAAGAGGAACTACCTCGTTCAAACATGAGCAATTAAGAGGTATCAGCACAGAATTTATACAAAAGTAGTGAAAGAAAGGAACAGAAAAATAAACAGGCAACAAAAAACAGTGATCAGAAAAACACTGCCACAGAACAGTTTAAAACTATGATCAAACACACTGATATGACACCAAACATGTAATGAGGAAATACCTTTGTAAAATAACAGCTCAAAGGAGAGATATAAAAGCAGAAAGAAGATCAAATGAGCCTCCAGAAGGAGATGAAATAGGAGCTTGTCAAGTTCAAAGAAAAAGTGGAATAAAAAAATACAACTATCACAGAAATGCAGAACATTTTGAAAGCGGCACATATAAAAGACACTGCTGAAAACACAGTAAGGGATGTAGAAAAAAGCAAGACAAATAAAATGGAAATTAAATTAAAAAAGGATTTGAGAGAAAAACTTAAGTATGAAAGTCAAAAAAGATTTTACATATGTATAATTGGTATCCCTGAAGAATGGAATTAAAATGAAACAAAAAAAACCTTTTTTTCCCTGAAATAATTCAAAAAAATTTTCCAGAAATGTAAGTGGATGTGACTCTTTCTAAAGATTGACATGTCCTGACAAGATTGTCAGCAATGAGCTATATCCTGGTAGACTTCAAAGGTTTAAAAAAAAACAAAAAACTAGGCATCAAGCAAACACATCAAGAAAGCAATAAATAAGGGGGAAAAAAATATCAGCAGGGCCTCAGGAGTTTCCATAGCAAGATTTAATACCAGACGAGAATAAACACTGCCTACAATATCCTTAAGGAAGTGTGATCCCTAATTTTATACCCAAACTATTGATCAGATATAAAGATGAAAGACAAACATTTCTGAACTTATGTCATTCAAGAAATGAAAAGAAAAACTAACAAAATGACAGAGAACCTATAATCTATTTAACTACAGAAGAAAAATGAAAACAAATATAGGGATAAAGATTACGAACAGGATGTAAATGTTACAAACTGGCCTACAGTAGGGAGGGCGAAGTTAGGAACACGGAAGTAATTTAACCATGCTGTTTATCCTCATCTTTTATACCCAGAGATCAAAAGACAGAAGTTAAAGCTGATAAATAAAAGTATATTTAAAGGCATAAATGTCAACACTAAGAAAAATAATAAAATTAACTACAATTGGGAGGTAGAGGGAAGACGTGGAAATAATACCAATTTCATCATTGCTCTTAGTATGAATTCGGGAAATATTGTGTATATAGTAGATTAAGTACATAATATCAAGTTGTACTTATAAAAGTTAACAGCTAGCACACGAACATAAATCTAGCAAACTATTATAAAACACATGGACATGGGAGAAGCAAAGAAAATATATATTGTAAAGATAAAAAAAAAGCAGAAAGTTTAACATAAATGTGACAGAAGACCAAACATTTGTCATATTAACAAATATCAATGGAATAAACTCTCATATTAAACAGAGAAACGACCCTCAAATTGAATACATATAAGGATATACATAGCCTACTCATTGCACCACTGTGATGGCAAAAGGCTGGGAAAAACCTAGTGTCCTAAAATGAGACTGATTAAAGCATGGTACAGCAACACAATGGAATGCATGTAATTAATTCCAATAATGACTTTGACATGATCTCCAAAATATATGGGAAAATGCACAGCACAGAACAGTATTATGGTATGCTCCATTTGCATTAAATAAATCAATAAAATAAATGTACTCATAAAATATCTCTAAAAGGATACCCAAGAAATTAGTAATAGCTGTTGCCTCCAGACGGGGAATTACATAGCATGGGGATATAGGAGCCAAGTCTTAGTTTTCACTCTATATTCTTTTCAGTCTTTATAATTTTGTTCTATGTACATGTTTTACCTAGTTAAGATAAATAAATCAGATTCGTTAGCCTCGGGGGAAAAAAAGGCTAATAAATTCAGGAGATGATCTAACTACTTAAGAGTCAAAAAAAAAAAAAAAAAACCTATTAGAATGCTTAAACAGACTTTTTATGAGGTGAAGGAAAAGAATTAACTCCACAAAGAATAAACTCAGTCAACAGAATGAAAGCTAGAAGCAAATGTTTAAAAAGGAGTTTTACTACAGTATGTTGCAATTTAAGTCCATAAAGCCAAGGGTTTAACAATTTCTTATGGTCAGACTCAAAGATGTTTCCCTTGCATAGATTTGAAAATCTGCCTTAATCTTTGCTGCTCTTCTTTTAGGACTTCCACCAGGAACCTCTTTTGCAGTCACTTACAAGGCAACTCTGAAAACATGGCTTATATAGAATCATTTCATAATAATCAAATTCACCTCTAATTAGATATCAAAAATGCCCAAAAGAATACAAACTCTAAGATGGCAAAAACACAAGAATTTAAGAATGTGTCCTGGTAAGCTAGAGACAAGAATTTAAGAAAAAAATTAAGTTTTTCAAAATGTCTGTCAACATTTATTCATTTATAGAATTGGCTATTTAAATTTCAAAATACTCACCAGCAAAATTTTTTAATAGTCTGCCTATTATTTATTAGTTTCACAGGTATGATTTAGTTGGCAATGGCCATCAGAAGTCTGAAGGGTTATAATATTAGTGTTGAAAGTTACATTTTTAGTTAGTAAGATTCTTAACTATTTTCAGTCTGAATTCTTCTAGGTCTAGTTTTAACTTTCTAAGCTGTGGATTCATATCAATTTGTCTGACTGGTTTATGAATAATGTTTTGGAAACCAACCTGCTGCCAATGAACAAAAATTAGAGAATTAGGTAGCATATCATAATTTTTTTAAAAAAGACTTTTCCTAGACAGGCAATACAATTGGTTAAAAAAAAAAAAAAAAAAAAAAAGTTTCTAAGCATTTGACTCTGAAAACCTGACCAAAAAGAAATGTGGAAAAATACTAATATCTTACTGCAATCTATTTTCAACTTTCAACTTAGGCAGCAGCTGAATATTTGGGAATCAGAAGCTAAATTCGAGTTGGAGACAAAGCTGTTGTCCTAACAACTGAAGGAGTATTTAGATATTACTTTGGCCTTATTTCAAAAAATGAAGTTAGAGAAGAAAGCAGGGCAAAAGCAGAATGTTGACAGAAAGTGTTATTTGTAGATGACATAAACTGTCACTTACTCTTTGGTTCACAGTCTGGAAGTAATTCTATTTTGGAACTATATATGTCAGCAAAGCTAATCTAAAGTTTATATCTTTTGTAAATAAGTCCAACAATTTGTTTTAATTCTTATAGACTTTGACGTTTTTCAATATTGATTTGTAAGAATAACTTTGGAATAAGCTGTTAGCAAATCTCTTTGGATTTTATTGTAAATGCCTCCCAGCATTCTGTATCATAAAAAAGCAACAGTAATGCTGGGGAAGGTGACTGAAAATCATCTACCATGTTTGGGATCGCTCACCTTTGTTTCTTTGAATTGGTAATCCTTAAACTCCTGAACAACTACAAATAAGTTGTCAACTGACCTCAAACAATGAACCTAGGGAGGAAAAAAAATGTTAGAAATAAATTTCTGAGAAAGCTTTTAAAAAACACAAACTATCAACATTTAAACATACAAATCAGATACAATAGTTTTAAGGCAGCTAACACCTATCATTTCTGTTTAAAATTAAAAAAAAAAAAAAAAAAATACTGCCAGTCTCCCATCCGTTTGGCCACCCATCTGCTTCTGCATTTCCCCAACAGAAAGGGAAGGACAGATAGAAGGTTGAAGCATTATGTGGGCAACAGGGTTATGAGGGGGAAGGGGAAGACAAAGCAATCAAGTGGGACTTTATCGTGATTTCCTCACGGCTCTCTGTGGTATACTGTATACTGCAGTGGCTAAGAGCATTGGGTTGAGACCCAGCTGTGATTACTAGCTGAGTGATGCTGGGAAGATTACTTATTTTTCCTAAGCCTAATGATTACTGATAATAAAAACAGTGCTAGTGCCTATGTTCACAAAGCTGTTGAAGATATTAACTAAAATACTGTATGGAAAATATCTGCTCACCAATTCATCCCAAATATTTACTGGGTGCCTACTATATGCTAGAGTCTGAGAGTTGGGACTATGACAGTTAAAAAACAAACAAAAAAAACTAGACAACCCCTGCCCTCATGCTACATGGTAATGAAAAATATTTCAGCTTTTATTATAGAGAGATGGCAGTTTGCTGACCTTCACCTCTCACTTTCAGTGATTCCTAACTACTTTTGTGCAAGAATTTCTTTGACACAGACTGAAAAAACAAGAAGAAAATTCTTATTCCTTGCTTCATCACCAAAATCTGGAGCTAGATGCTGAAGTAAATAAATTCCAAGATGTGCAGCACATACTTGGAATTTATTCGTAAGTCACATAGGATTCTTTCTGGTGAACTCATTCTCAGGGAATACTAGAATGACTTCTAAAAATAGAGCAAACCTACTAGTCAAACTTACAAATCAGTACCTAACAGAAAATGAAGTATATTTTAAAATCACCTGATTTAGGGCAAAGAAAAGCACAGGGGATTCCAAAGGGATCTGTAAGTAAAGAGTAATCGTAAATCAAACAATTTAGAAAACTATTTAAATTCTGCTACATGCAAACCTTAGCGAGACTCTCCACTGAAATGTCAAAATATATCTTGCCCCGGTCTTTGCTGATTTTGCATGATGACCCCAGTTTCTCTCTAACTTCATCCGCAGCTGTTTGCTCAAAGCCAGTAGGTACAGTGGCTCCAACAGTGACTTCGAGATGCTCAGACTCACTTCTGTGGCCACTTTCTGTCACTTTTACAAACCTCTGGTTCTCAAACAGGTTCACATCCAAGAGTTGGTTAGTGGCTTCTTGAACGTCAGACATGCTGGAGCACTTCCAAGATCCCTAATACAGTCCCTTAAAAAGCAGTACAGAAAAGAAATAAAAGCCTAATCACCTCGTATCAACTACACCTGTTTTGGAGGGCAGGCAGAACAAAGTAACATAATTGATATAGTCATATTCAGCCAACACACCTGATTAAGCATTCACCAAAGATAAAAGAATTGAATAAATATGGGCACAGAGAGCAGGTTGTAAAACATGATGTTGTTGAACAAGCAATATAGTAAGTACTATGGAAGAACAGGAGACAAAATAAAGTATTTTCACAGCATGCAACGTTTGATTTGTGGCCATCTATGTTGATAACTGACAAACTCATAACTATAACAGTTACTAATTCAAACACAGAGGCTACTAGAGCACATTCAAATCCGTTTGTGCATCTAGTCCTTTTGTCTACCAATTAAGAACATGGGGCTTTGAACTTTCAGAGACATGGGTTTGAATTCTTGCCCCCATCACTAAGTGGTTGAATGACCAATAACAAGTTCATTCTCCTAAATCCTCAACTTCCTTATCTGTAACATGGAAATTAAATAATAATTCCGTCAGTGTTGAGAGATTTAAATGACATTAGCACACTGACAGACACATGATTAAAACGTGCTAACAGGATATACATCTTCCTCCTTCATTTGAAGTAGATAAGGACTTCTACATTTAAAAATACCTACTACTCAACAACTATAAATATTTGACTGCCTACATGTCAGGCTCTCGGGTCCATGGAAAAAGCCATGGTGGCACAATAGTTAAAGCGCTGGGCTGCTAACCGAAAGGTCGGCTGTTACATCAGCCGCTCTGCGGGAGAAAGATGTCGCAGTCGGCTTCGTAAAGATTCACAGCCTTGGAAACCCCTAGGGGCAGTTCTACTCTGTCCTACAGGATAGCTATAAGTCGGAATAGACTCAACGGCAGTGGGTTTGGTTTTGGGTTGGGGTCCATGGAGGGGTTTCAGGCGAGGCCTGTGAAATACTGGTGGGTTCGAACCACCGACCTTTCAGTTAGCAGCGGAGCACTTAACCAGTACGCCACCAGAGCTCCCCTGAAACTGTAAGCCATATTAAATGTATCTGAACACGGGTGGGGGCGTGCAGAGAGGTGGTAATCAATAGCTTTCAACAGATTTTCAAAGGGGTTTGTGACCCAAATAACTTAGGTATGCAAAAGAGTACCTATATGTGCATTGTTTTGTGCCAGAAACAGGCAACAAGGTTTAACAGTAATAAAACTCAATTCCTGTCCTTAAAGAGCTCACAATCACTGTGAATACGATTTCCACTTTCTAAATAAAGCAGCGGAGGCATTACGTTTCCTGCCCAAGGTCACAGAGCCAATCAGTGGCGAGAATGGAATAGAATCTTATCTCCTGACTCCCACCCGCCCGGACCGCGGTCACAGGAATCTCAGGGAGTGGGTGATGGCCGAGGAGGCAGCGAAAAGGGATCCACGCGTGACCGGATGAGGTCCAAGGCCGGCGTGCGGCCTTCGCAACAGCACCGTGGCCCGTGGCCGGGCAGCAAGGAGAAGGCCGCTTCTCGGCGGGCGCCGGGGTCCGCCCCTAGCTTCCCCCGAGGCTGAAGGGCATAGGCCGCCACGCACGGCCACTCCCACCCGCCGCCCGGTTACCGGCTGCAGCTCAAACCATTCCGGCTCCGGAACCCGACCAGCACTGCGCCCTCAGGTCACGCCGCCGGAAGCCGCTTCGCCACCCCCGGAAACGGAAGTCAGGCCCCGCGGTCACGGCGCATCTGTGCTACAGGCGGGCGCCAGGACAAGGTCGTAGAGAGGGGAACATGCGCACAAGACTCTGCGCTGAGTCGGCGAGGCGGGGATGAACTGTCCTCGCGTCCGGGACTGGGTACTCTGCAAGCTGAGTCTGCAAAGAGCATGCTGTGTAATAGGTAACATTTATAGAGCGCTTAAGCTGTGCCACGCACTGTGTAAGCGCTGCATTGCGACATCCCATTTGTTCCTCCCTACGAATCTATGAAGTGGCACCATTTTAACCCGGAGAAACTGAGTGTCAAAGAGGTTATAAATATCTTGCCCAAAATGTCATGCACAGTATTTTAAAGGCAGAACTGGAATTTGAAGCTAGGTGGTGTGACCCCAGAATCCTCGCTCTTAACCCCTGAGCGAGTGTTGCTCAAACTTGTCTACGAGTCACTCGGATACTGCCTTCACTGTTTTTGCCCAGTTGCATTATTGCTTCCCTAATGTTTTTCTTTACATTGTTTTAACATAGAAAATTTTATTTTAAAAGGAAACTATTACAACTCAACAACAAAAATACAATCCAATATAAAAAATGGGCAAAGGACTTGAATAGATGTATCTCCAAAGAAAGTACACAAATGACCAATAAGCACAGGAAAAGATGCTTAACAGCGTTACTTATTAGGGAAATGCAGATCAAAACTACAGTGATAACACTTCAGACCCACTAGGGTGGCTATGACAAAAAAGACAGTAACAAGTGTTGACTAGAATATGGAGATACTGGAACCCTCATACATTGTTAGTGGGAATGTAAAACGGTACAGTCACTGTGGAAGACAGATCATTCCTCAAAAAGTTAAACAATTACCATAAAACCCAGCAATTCTACCCCTAAGTATATACCCAAGTGAATTGAAAGCAGATATTTAAACAAAAACTTGTACACAAATGTTCATGACAACATTATTCACTATAATCAAACAGTGGAAACAACCCAGATGTCCATGTCAGCAGATAAATGCATAAACAATATTACTTGGCCATAAAAAGGAATGAAGTACTAATACATGCCTACAACATGAGTGAACCTTGAAAACAGTATGCTAAGTGAAGGAAGCCAGACACAAAAGGCCACATAATTGTGTGATTCCATTTACATGAAATAGCCAGAATAGATAAATCCAGAAAGTTGATTAGTGGTTGCCGGGGGCTGTGGGGAGGAGGAATAGGGAGTGACTGCTTAATAGGTATGGGTTTCCTTTTGGGGGTGATAAAAATGTTCTGGAATTAGACAGTGGTAATGGTTATACAACATTGTGAGTACATTAAAAATACACTTTAAAATATTTAAAGTGGTGAATTTTATGTCATGTGAATTTTTTCCAAATTTTTAAAAAGGAAAATTTGGTCATCATGAAAACAAATCTGCAGCTTCCTCATCTGCGAAATGATAATTCCCTTATAGAGTTGTTGGGGTGAGAGGGATTTAAACATTGAAAAGAAAATGTAATTCTCTCTACTTGATTCGGTGCTATTTAATGCACACCTTCTTACTATCTAAAACCATCTCCCATAAACAGGTCTCACACTTAGGGAAACATTAAGCCATATTTTCTACGAGTATTATCTTAGGGTTGCCACTTTTGTTGTTGTTAGTTGCTGTTGAGTTGTCTCCAACACACTGGGACCCCGTGTATGAATGAAACATTGTCCAGTCCTGTGTCATTTTCAAGATGTTCGAATATGCTTGAGTCTGTTATTGAAGCTACTGTATATTTTGAGTGTCTTCCAACCTAGGAGACTCATCTTCCAGGATAATATTTTGTTATGATCCATAGGGTTTTCATTGGCTAATTTTCACAAGTAGATGGCCAAGCTTTTCTTCCTAGTCTGTCTTAGTCTGAAGTGCCACTGAAATCTGTCCACCATGGGTGCCCTTGCTGGTATTTGAAATATCAGTGGCATAGCTTCCAGCATCATAGCAACATGCAAGCCACCACAGTATGACAAACTGACTAATGGGGAGGGGGCTGTCACTTAGGCACAGAATTTATTGTGCACCTATGATGTGTTAGGCACTCTTTTAGGTACTGGGAACACAGCAGTAAAAAAAAAAAAAGTGGGTTTTTTTGTTTTAAAGATAAAAAGGATTGAATGACTATGGGCACAGAGAACAGGTTGTAAAACATGACGTTATTATTAAACAAGCAATACAGGTACTATGGAAGAGCAGGAGACAGTATTTTCACAGCTTACAGTGTTTGATATATACATATATTGGTTGTTGTTAGTTGCTGTTGAGTCGGTTCCGACTCATGGTGACCCCATGTGTGCAGAGTTAGAACTGCTCCATAAGGTTTACAAGACTGACCTTTCTGAAGCAGATTGACACAGGCCTGTTTTCCGAGGCACCTCTGGGTGGGTTTGAACTGTAAACCTTTCAGCTAGTAGTCGAGTGCTTAATTGTTTGTGCCACCCAGGGGTGTATACATACATATATATATATATATATGTATATATGTATATATATTTATATATACACACATATATATATACCAGGAAAAAAGAAAAACCAAACCCACTGCCGTTGAGTCAATTCCAACTCATAGCAACCCTATAGGAAAGAGTAGAATTGCCCCATGGTTTCCAAGAAGCGGCTGTTGGATTCAAACTGCCGACCTTTTGGTTAGCAGCCTGAGCTCTTAACCATGACACCACCAGGGCTCCATATGTGTGTGTGTGTGTGTGTGTGTGTGTGTGTGTGTGTGTGTGTGTGTGTATAAAATTAAAAGTTGCTGTGATAACAAGTATTATGGAGAAAAACTAAGCAAGCGTGGGAGATGGAGCATGCTAGAGGGTTGGAGGGGAATGCCTAATTTATATAGATTGGTCAGGAAAGGCCTCTTGTATAAGATGACAAAGCAGCACCTGAAGGACATGAGGGGCAAGTCATTCAGGCATCTGGGAGAGGAGCATTCCAGGCTGAGGGGATAGCAAGTGCATAAGCCTTGAGGCAGGGCCATGCTCCCGGGTTGTAGGAATAGCCAGGAAGTCATTGTGGCTGGGAAGAGTGAGTGAAGGGGAGAGAGGGAGAAGATGAGATGGGGAAGGGGGGATAGAGCATATAGGCCAATGTTTTACAAACTGTTCACCATGACTTACGTTTAGAAAAGATCACTCTGGCTGCTGTGTGGAGAATGTAGCGGCAGGGATGGGAGCAGTGGGAGGGCGTCTATTTCACTGATCCAAGTGAAAGGTCATGATGGCTCAAACTAGGATGTTAGGGATGAGTGTGGTGAGAATTGTCAAGTCCTTGTGTATTTTTAAGGATAAGCTGTCATTTCTAGTGGATTAGATGTGGGGTTTGAGAAGAAAAAGAACAGGAAGTTTAAAGATCAGATGTAGCAGACTTGCTGGACATGAGTAACCATATTCTGTGATGGATGCATGTTAAAGAACTTGGGCTAGAACACCACAAAGAAATAAAAATCGACACATTTGTTCCTTAGAGTTTTGGTTTATTGCAAAGAGTAATAGTATTTTCGCTTATATCAGAAAGATCCTGGTGATCTGCTGTGAAAATATTGACTAAAACAGATCCTTGCTAGAAAATGCCAGTTTTGGACAATTGTCATATACGAGGGGAATTGAAGGTGCCTGCGAAGAAAGTCCTGGAGATCTACTTCTGAAAAAATCAGCCATTGAAAACCCTGTGGAGCACAGTTCTACTCTGACACACATGGGGTCACCATGAGTTGGAATTGACTCAACAGCAACTACTTTTTTTTAAATTATGATTTCTTTCTAAGTGGCAGTAGTGGCTATATTAAAGTGACCCCTGAGTAAACTAGCAAATGCTTAAGCTTGGTAATTCATCTCAGATATGTTGTGTGTTGTTGGTGCCATTGAGTCGATTCCGACTCATAGCGACCCCATGTGACAGAGTAGAATGGCCCCATAGAGTTTTCTTGGCTGTAATCTTTACGGAAGCAGATTGCCAGTTCTTTCTCCTGTGGAGCCACTGGGTAGGTTTGAACTGCCAACCTTTCAGTTAGCCGCTGAACGCTTAACTGTTGTGCCACCAGGTCTGCTTATATCAGATATAACGACCCCAATTAGGAACTCAGTGATAGTTATTCCTATTAACCCAGATACCTGTTTTACCCTAATGTCTGTCTGTCCTTGCCTGTTCTTAAAACAGGGTCATGGTTAGAAAGTCAAATAGTATAGCCACCTTCCCCTCCTCCAGTCCCTTCCTGTCTTCTACAGAGACAAGAACTTTTAACCACTTCTTCTTTTAGTTCATATGGTGATTACTTCCATGTTTCTAAATAATATGTTTTTAGTGCTATTTCTTGCTTTTTCAAATTTAGGTATTATCTGTATACTCTGTTATGGTAGTTGAAGTTTAGCCTACTAACATCACCACCGTCTTATTTTCCCCTTCTTTCTCTTCCCATTGTGTAACAGCCTGATATAGTTTGTTCCTCTACGAAAAATTTACCTTTGTAATTTTGAGTGGTATATTAAACATCCTCTTTGTGTTCAGTCAACTATAGACAGCATCTTTTGATCCTCCACACTGTAAGGTGAGGCCTTTATTAGCACTCCTGCCCTTTTTTCTACCTGTCCTCCCTTCTTTCTACCTCCCAACCTATTTTGTTAAAAGAGGATACCACTTGGCAGGTTGGATTCCTGTGGGGATGTAATTGAAAGAGGGATGCCCTACACCTGCTTCTCACTCAAGGAGCTACTGAAATTCCACTCTACTAAGAAAAATTTTTAGGACCTTGTTGGGAAGTGAAAGATGCGTCTCCAATTCTGTTAATGAAATG